GGGCCAGCCTACATGGCTACCCGGGCTCATGTAAACAACCCCTAAGGTGATAGCAACAATAATATACTTGGTGCTAAATGTAATATAAACTTGAGTAACAGAGAAAATTCTCATCTTCAGATTATTTTCCCCTCATTGTAGAGTAAACTGTTAATATGTATCTTAAAAACTAGAGTGTATATTAGAATCTCACAGATTTATAATTTAAACTGTCATTAAGATAAATCAGGTCTTTTATTGTCTGTTTTGTAAATGAGGTTCCTTGATAATGTCAAAGGAGGCCTTGTCAGTTGTGACTTGACACACTTGTGATACCAAATTTGTAAAGTCACAGCTAAAGGATTTTAATAGGTTCAAGTCAATATATTATCCCTAAAATTTATTTTAGAAGAAGAAGTAGGTCTAGCAATTTCTTTCATAGCGCAATATTATTTTATACGATTGCAGGCCGCCAATATGCCAAGTTGAATTACACTGTATTGAATAGTTGATCACAAATTCACTGAAGGTCCGATGAACTGGATTTATTTCCTTCATTGTTATGGCATTCACGTCCTTGATCTTTTTGTACACAATGAAATATCACCAACTTATCACTCAAAACATATTTTACGGCGATCGGACTAACCACACATAAGCTATATAACTTTATATGTTTATCACTATTCGCCAAAGACCGAGGTGAAATTAATCGATGTATGACAATGGCCAAATTCCACGCTTAAATTCGTTTCTCATCCTCGTAGTGACAATTAAATCAAAGAACAACCTCTTCTTTATGATATTTCAAAATATCATGAGTTTTGCTTGGATACATAAAAAGCTAGAGCACTTTTAGTGGCTCTATTTCGTATTCCGCCATATTAACTCCTATAAAATTTCCTCTGGTTTGGTTGCTTTCAATATGGCGGCCACACCGGAAGTCGGCCCACATTCTGGCACACTTTTTACCCTTGAGCATAGAATAAGAAATGAATAGAAGGGCAACTCACGTGTACAACGCGTCCTAGTTTTTTTGTGCGCATGCGTCAGGTCCGCCATTACTCTGGCCAGTAAACTGGCTGCTGGCGTACTATAGATTATATGGAGAAGAGTAGTGTTTGGGCTATAAATTCGCCTTTTTCGTTCAAGTTTTTCAATGATCGTGAAAGTTTTTGACAGAAGATGAACGAAATAAGGTGAGGCATTGCAATTTATTAGGTAAAAGCAATCTAAAGACGTTCTATTAGCAAATACTGACCGTTTTACTTGCTTGTTAAAAGTTGTATATTTGTATATTGAATAAAAATGTTTGGTATATTCTTGGGTAAATTGGCACGGTACTCCTATTTTATCAGATACTTATGTTAGTTCAAATCTTCATAACAATGTGCTTACAGTAAAAGCATTGTTTCATCCCAATTTTCCGTATTTAGCACAGTTGAGTATTGTATAATGTCTGTTTCCATATCGGACATATTTTCACGTTATTTTACCTGATCTGGATGTATTTTCATGTATATTTATACAAATACACAACTATTACAAACACACAACTAAAAGATTCCTTTTGTGTTTCTTTCACAAATAACAAGTGTTGTCTTCTGTAAAATAAGTGGTTTCTTGAAGTTTGAAATTTTGTACAAAACAAACTGATAGACTATAGTATAGTATACAAATGTGCTGCAGGTGAATCAGAAACATTGCTAACTATGCCCATATCATAGAAGCATTTCATCTATTGTTTTTTATTCAACCAGGTATTAAACAGCATCAGAAAAGTCATAAATTGTTGTTTTTTTATGTTATAATTATCAAGGATATAATTAAAATATAGAAACTGAGTCACCATACTTTTTGTTGTTATGTACTCTGGTGAATATGATGTTTGTGGTGTTACTCTGAGTATGCATCCACACTGGGCAAACTGAAAAGTTTGCCTGACCGCGGTCAGGCATGGTGGGAATCTAACCCACGACCTTTGGGTTATCACTCCAATGCTCTACCAACTGAGCTATGAGGTCACCTAAGTATATAACACTAACACACACAAAAAGTATCATGTCTTAGAATACATTGATGTCGAAGGAACCACACTCAGTTCCAAAATATCACCAACTCGAACTGACTTAACCTAGTAGTTCAGTTGGTTGAGCATTGGACTGGTATCCCATTAAGGTCACAGGTTCGATTCCCACCATAGTCAGGCAAACTTTTTAGTTTGTCCCGGTGTGGATGCACACGCAGAGTAACACCACAAACATCAAGTTATGACCATGTTTACACTTCATCCATGCCTGACAATCACTGACACAGGCAACACATCAATTTGCCTGAGTGTATGGAATGTACAATTCCTCTGCACCGGACGGCAGTGAGTCTAGGCTCTAGGAATTGTGTATCGTTTTTGTGCCAAAAGATTCGACAGCAATATAAGCTGTTGTGTATGCAAGTCACTGATTTGTGCACAAAACTGGACAGCCTTTTCTTTCCATGCTGGGCAATTTAGGCCTCAGCTAGCATGACTAGGTCAAGCTGGCAATGTGGCCCTTCTATAACATAGTATTATCCATGTCATAATTTTTGTTTCATTTAGTTTAATTTCTGCCTTCTGGACGTGCTCAAGCCTTGGCAACAAGTACTCAAGTTTCACTCTCTTGAAGACCAATTTGTCAATGATTGGATCATATTGTGTTGTCTTTGTAATATAATATATGTATGCCAGAATGGCAGTGCAGAAACATTAAAATTTTTTACAAAAATATGTTGAATACTCTTTCATTTCTCTCCTAGTATTACATTATGCAAGATGTGGACACCAAATATATGGGGCTGTTCCATATGAGATGTGCTGGCATTACAAAATGGACCAGGCTGCTTAGGTACCCCCATTTCAAGTTTGTATTCAAATGTGGATACATGCTTTATTTTGCCATTCAGACACCTATAAATCTAAGAATGTAGAAAGCTATCCAAAATTATATTGCAATTTCTGCATAATGCTTGCCAGGCTAGCCTGCCTCCACTAGTGTATGAAGGCAAGCTAACCTGGTTTACCAGGCCAGCCCAACTCTTATGAACAGCTGTTAATGTAGAATGGGTTTCATATAATATATTCCTTTTGTTCCTGGAGATCTTAATTTTTTATAAACTTTTTTGCTTTAAATTTCATGCAATATTACATATAGTTCTATAACCCACAGTACCATGCAAACCATGCAATACATATCAAAAAATAATGTCACAGCTTTGTTATACACAGTTATTAAGCCACAAATGGTCAAAGGTCTACGGAAATTATTGGGGGAGGGGGGGGGGGTATTGCCCACCTGGCCCCCTAGTGTCCACCACTGAATATATGCATTTGAACTATTGCAACAAATCAGACTTGTTTTAGACTCGTACACTTGTGCTTATTAAAATACCAATTGGGACTTGTTGAACGTTTGTTTATAACAATATAAAGTACAGAACTAAGTACTGTAGTTCCTATGCAAGATAAAATCAATTTGTAGCCAATGTTCAAAAGGTATCTTTGAATGTTAGTAATATTTGAAACAGTTCCAAGGTTCTTTCAGACAAATCCAATTGAATATTGGACTGTGCTGGAACCATACTGACCACCTTCACTTCCTATTCTGTGATAGTGACTTTGCCACTTCTATAAAAACAAAAAATACATTAAATTCAATCAAACTTGTACACGAAAAACAGCTATAAACACATGGAAGTGACCACGTGTGCATAAAAAGCAGCTCTGCTCTGGATGAAAACCCTCAAAATGCTCAAATCTATATAATATTACTGCAACATCTGAACAAAAAAAAAGTATTCACACTAGCTTTAAAGACCAAGACAACCCGAAAAATAAAAAAAATATGATATGTACGATAGTTGCAAAGATTAACAACGATTCACTAGTTTAAAACCTATAAACATAGTCTGTATCATGTACTGTATATATAAATAATAATGTTCGTCAACTCCATATTTAATAGTAATATTTGTAGCTGATAAATACCTCGATTAAATGTTTTATTTGACCAATAAATGAATAAATACAAACTACTTACCTTCCTCTTGGGTGTTTTGGTTTTAAAATCTAATTTTATAAGCAAATATCCACAAAATGTCAATTTTAAAACAAATCACAGCTCTCACTCCATATATTTTATATCGATTTCAGCTGCAAGTTACTGGCCAGAGTAATGGCCGCCGTCGTATTTCCGGCATGCGCGACACGACATGCGCGAGGACACCGACTTCAAAGGATCCGACATTCAGTTGCCCTTCTATTCATTTCTTATTCTATATTAAACTCAAAAGAAACACGGGTATTATTTCTTCAAATAATTTGTAACTTGTTCGTTGTATATGTTCGTTTACATTATATTAACTTATTATAACATGCAAATGCATGTACTTTAATATACTAAAAATATCACAACAAGTATTAAGTTAATAAGGGGCCTTTTGGTATTATAATGAATGTTGGTATTATTACTAATTAGTCGTTTCCAGTCAGGGGCGCACATTAGGGGGGGGGGGGGTTGAGGGGGTACGAAACCCCCCTTAGCGTCCGAATGTTACCAAAAGTCGGTCCCATTCTTCCTTGATACTGTGCGAAAACTCGGTCCCAAAATTCGCGTACAAGAATTAATATTTATTTCTGTCAGTGAATTTGGACCGACAGCACAAGAACTGGTTGGTAAGATATTATGAACAAGGGACACGCGGTCAGTGGTTAAGTTCATGCATGACCGAAAGGAAATACAAATACATTTCCTGTATGTCATGTGTATTGAATTTCATAAAATTCGGCCTTAAAAACTTTTAATGTGTCCGCGTTACATATTACATAAAGTGCGCTAATCACACTATAGCAACTTCCTACGGAGACGAGAGACCAGTTTGGTGCCTGGCGTTTCTATTTTTGAAAAGAAACTGAATTCTTACACACATGACTATCTCCTTCTCAGGCTTTATATCTATACATGCCTCCTTACAAGCTTTTTAGTACACCGCGATCATAGCTTTTGGGTCTGATAATTTTTTTACACCACAGGATATATTCTACCGTTATAATTTCACACATACATCTCCAATTTTATTTTCCACAAGTCTACACCTGCACTTATATTTCTTACTGGTTCACATTTACACAAATACAACTCTTTTTTTATCTTTTTTCCTCATGCAGTTTCATCAAATACAACATAATTTTCACAAGCATGCACTTGTGAACAACACGAAGCCATCACATTATCATATTTTATACTACACCTTTCGAGTAACATTTGGGGACTATTGTGGCATAAAATTATTCCTAGAACGGCAATATGGTTCTCATTCCTATATCTAAACTTAAAAAAGCTCTAGAATCTGCTAAAGAAACCATTTTCACTCTGCGCTACTTACGTGATGATGAACAAAACGTAAACAACCGGCTGATTACTGCTGCTGTGAAATTTTCTGAACGCCATGGAGTCGATGCTAATATCGAATACCAGTGACAACATCGTCACAGACGCCCAACAAGAAGAGTGGAGGATTTCTACAGAACAGAATTCATCTAAGTCCTCGGCGTACAAACACAAGCCCTTACCGACAACGTTGAAGCGACATGTGATATTCTTGCCCCCAGCAATTAACCTTCTTCTTCCTTCATTGGACAATGATCCCAAAGAAGAAGACGTTGACCCTCTTGTAAAGATGCTTCCACGTTCACTACAACCTAACAACTACGTTTTATTCGCTCAACTGACGTTGTTTAGAAATCATTGTCAAGAGAACAAGCTGGAAATTGAAACAATCGCAGAAGCATCACGACTAGCTAATGGTATGAAATTTGAAAGCAAGTTTCCTTTAACAAACAGGAAATCAGGATTGCCTGATTTTAACTGCACCTATTATAATCATCGGCGTCGAGTGAGCGAAGCTTCTCTAAGCTGAATTTGATCAAGACAGTAATTATGCGCTTAGTGATGAATCAGAACAGGCTTAAGGATTTCATAACTTTAGGGTCAGAAAAAGATTTAACTGATTCAATTTACCTGAACGTAATAGTTGACCTCTGGATAAAACTCCCCAAGACTCGGCGTATTTATTAGTGTACATGCAAGTGTAGAACTACATGAACGATCGATATGCTATGATTGTTATGTGTACAGACCTTCAAAGCCACCGGCCACGTAACTACTGTAATAACTAAGTGGTAATAGTAATAATAGCAATAATAGCATTTATAATAACTCTTCAAGTAGAACATTCACTGCAAAAAATCAATTTCTTGTTTTAAGAAAATATTACTTATTTTAAGCACAAAATTACTTGTTTTAAGAAAATTTTACTTGTCCCGTGGGTAAGTAAAATATTCTAGGTAAGAATCAGATTTCAAGAAAATTTTTCTTAAAATAAGAAAATTAATCTTGGTTAGAACAAAA